CAATACTTTAGTATTAACCGATATCGTTATTAGCTCACCTGAGCCGAAGGCTGAAGTGAGCTTTTCTGATCACATTTTGCTCGGCGTCCGTCTGTCTATACACTTTTCACATGTTAGACTTCTTTTCAAGAACCACGGTGCCAATTTCAACCAAACTTTCCACTAAGTATCCTTGTGTGAAAGAGATTCATTTGTTCATATGAAGTGCCATACACTCTTTTCAAGATGAGATAAATAAAAATTAGTGTAAAAACTAGAAGTCTCTGTCGAGACTGAAGCTCTACTGGTTTGTACTTATAGCAAAGGAAGAGGAAAGTACTTAAGCAGTTGGGAATTGAAACTTTACACTAGCAAAGAGGAGAATAATGATCCTTGAATACGTCTCTTTATGTTCTTAGTGTAGTCTACTTGCATGCCACATTATATTATAATCAGACTAAAACTGTATTTGAAGTAGCATTTTGAGAGTAACAGAAATTGCTATTTTTATTAATCAAGGTAATAATGTTCATTGAAGTCAAAAACGCATATAAAGAATTATGTACCTTAGTGTGTAATGTTCATTGAAGTCAAAAACGCATATAAAGAATTATGTACCTTAGTGTAGTCTACTTGTGTGCCAAGTTATATTGAAATCATACCAAAACTGTAGTAGCATTTTGAAAGAATTTCACAGAAATTTCTTTTTTTTTAGTAACAACGCCAACACCGTTCGTCGAAATCAAAAACTGATATAAAGAATTATGTATCTTAGTGTAGTCTACTTGTGTGCCAAGTTATATTGAAATCAGACCAAATTTGTAGGAGTAGCATTTTGAAAGAATTTCAAAGAAATTTCTATTTTTAGTAACAACGCCAACACCATTTGTCGAAATCAAAAACTGATATACAGAATTATGTATCTTAGTGTAGTCTACTTATATGCCAAGTTATATTGAAATCAAACCAAAACTGTAGGAGGAGAAGCATTTTGAAAGAATTTTACAGAACTCTATTTTTAGTAACAACGCCAACACCGTTCGTCGAAATCAAAAACTGATATAAAGAATTATGTATCTTAGTGTAGTCTACTTGTGTGCCAAGTTATATTGAAATCAGACCAAATTTGTAGGAGGAGTAGCATTTTGAAAGAATTTCACAGAAATTTCTATTTTTAGTAACAACGCCAACACCGTTCGTCGAAATCAACCAGAAGTCTTTGTCGAGACTGTAGCTCTACTGGTTTGTACTGATCAAAAACCGATGCACAGAATTATGTATCTTAGTGTAGTCTACTTGTGTGATAAGTTATACTGAAATCAGACCAAAACTGTAGAAGAGGTAGCATTTTAAAGGAATTCCACAGAAAATTCTACATTTAGTAACCATGGCAACACCGTTCCTTGAAATCAAAAACCAATGCACTATTATATGTAAATTAGTGTAGGTTACTTGTGTGCCAAGTGATATTGAAATCAGACCAAAACTGTAGAAGGAGTAGCGTTTTAAAGGAATTTCTCAGAAAATTCTATTTTTAGTAACCATTGCAACACAGCTCATCGAAATAAAAAACCGATGCACTATTTCATGTATCTTAGTGTAGTCTACTTGTGTGCCAAGTGATTTTGAAATGAGACTAAAACTGTAGAAGGAGTAGCGTTTTAAAGGAACTTCACAGAAAATTCTATTTTTAGTAACCATAGCAATATCGTTCATCGAAATCAAAAACCGATGCACTATTTCATGTATCTTAGTGTAGTCTACTTGTGTGCCAAGAAATATTGAAATCAGACCAAAACTTTAGAAGGAGTAGCGTTTCAAAGGAATTTCTCAGAAAATTCTATTTTTAGTAACCATTGCAACACCGCTCATCGAAATCAAAAACCGATGCACTATTTTATGTATCTTAGTGTAGTCTACTTGTGTGCCAAGTGATACTGAAATGAGACTAAAACTGTAGAAGGAGTCGTGTTTTAAAGGAATTTCACAGAGAATTCTATTTTTAGTAACCATGGCAACATCGTTCATCGAAATCAAAAACCGATGCACTATTTCATGTATCTTAGTGTAGTCTACTTGTGTGCCAAGTAATATTGAAATCAGACCAAAACTGTAGAAGGAGTAGCGTTTTAAAGGAATTTTAAAAAAAATTCTATTTTTAGTAACCATGGCATCATTGTTCATCGAAATCAAAAACCAATGCACTATTTTATGTATCTTAGTGTAGTCTACTTGTGTGCCAAGTAATATTGAAATCAGACTTAAACTGTAGAAGGAGTAGCGTTTTAAAGGAATTTCTCAGAAAATTCTATTTTTAGTAACCATGGCAACACCGTTCATCGAAATCAAAAACCGATGCACTATTTTATGTATCTTAGTGTAGTCTACTTGTGTGCCAAGTTATATTGAAATCAGAACAAAACTGTAGAAGGAGTAGCGTTTTAAAGGAATTTCTCAGAAAATTCTGTTTTTAGTAACCATGGCAACATCGTTCATCGAAATCAAAAACCGATGCACTATTTTATGTATCTTAGTGTAGTCTACTTGTGTGCCAAGTTAAATTGTAATCAGATCAAAACTGTAGGAGGAGTAGCATTTTGAAAGAATTTCACATAAATTTCTATTTTTAGTAACAATGCCAACACCGTGCGTTGAAATCAAAACCGATACATAGAATTATGTATCTTAGTGTAGTCTACTTGTGTGCCAAGTTATATTGAAATCAGACCAAATTTGTAGGAGGAGTAGCATTTTAAAAGAATTTCACAGAAATTTCTATTTTTAGTAACAACGCCAACACTGTTCGTCGAAATCAAAAACCGATACACAGAATTATGTATCTTAGTGTAGTCTACTTGTGTGCCAAGTTATATTGAAATCAGACCAAAACTGTAGGAGGAGTAGCATTTTGAAAGAATTTCACAGAAATTTCTATTTTTAGTAACAACGCCAACACCGTTTGTCGAAATCAAAATCCAATAAACAGAATTATGTATCTTAGTGTAGTCTACTTATATGCCAAGTTATATTAAAATCAGATCAAAACTGTAGGAGGAGTAGCATTTTGAAAAATTATTTACAGACAGACAGACAGACGGACGGACGCCGGACGCATTACTATCACATAAGCTCTTCTGGTCTCTGACCAGTAGAGCTAATAATAGCATCATTCAAAAATCTTCTCAAGATCAACTGGGCCAGGAAAGATGAAATTTATAAGGAAGCATCCCCATCAGGTGGTGTGATTCAAAATTGTTCAAATCGTGACCTCCGGGGTAGGGTGAGGCCACAATGGACGATCAGGGTTTAAAAAATTCTTGTAAAATCTTTTTTCTTAGGACAACAAAGCTGTGATTGGTCATATTTTAAAAGAAGCATATATAGGTAGTGTTGATTCAAGTTTGTTCCAATCATGATCCCAGGATCAAGGGTGGACCACAATGGTGGATCATAGTTTTACATAGGAATACATGTATATTGGAAGAAATCTTTTTCTAAAGAACTGAAAAGCCATGATTATTTATCTAAAGCAGAATAAAATAAGTAATACGAATACATCAATAAATTTGTTACACATTCTTCACATTTTAGATTTCATTTTGAATGCCCTTGGTTTGATAAAAATTCAATTACATCACTAGTATCTAGGGTAAATTTTGTTGCTGTGCACCAGCTGGTTTCGAACGTGAAATAACGATAACGCCAACTTTAAATTCTTTTGCATAAAAAAGGTTTTCCAGTCTCGTAAAAAAAGTAATGTGAAATTTGGTTGTCAAGATATTTTATAAGATATTAATCTACTTCTATCAGAATCAGATTTAGATTAGGTTTTCTGGTTTTATGCAGAACTTTCCATTCATGTAACGAGAAAATCCGGATTTTTTTTCCTCTCGCAATTATTGTTCCGAACAAAATTACAAGGAAAGTGAAGCCCGAAAATATCGGGCACAAGCTGATGCACACCAACAATGGCCTAAATGCGAGTGATTAAATCAAAGTATTTACTAATCGGTGGTACTTTAAAATAAATTAGAAATATGTAAAAAAGAGGAATATGTAACAAATTTATTGATGTTTGCTATCCCACGTTTTATTTTGCTTTAGATAAATAATCAAGCGAAATTTATGCGAGGTAAGGCGGATGACGAAAAAAGAGTTGTAAGCCGCAATTCTCTCTGTTTATGTATCAGTCGAGAATGACATATAAAAACGGCTTATAAAGACAAACAGGTTACATAATCGAAACAAAGTAGTGCATATTAGAATACCAAAGAAGGAAAAAGATGCGTTTACCCCAAACATAAAAAGAAAACAAACTGAAAAAAGGGGTCCAGCTCCCAAGTGCCTATGAAACAATGCAATCATTAAATTTGATGACCGAAGCTTTGAGGAAAGGATCCAAAATTTAACACGTTTACACTTAAAACAGAAGCTAAATGTTTCAGAGAAAAGATGAGTTGGGACTTTTTCAATCCCCCTCTCTCTTTCGGATCCATCAGGTGAGGCCTTTCAAAACTAGGCTTCGGCAGGCGTTAGCAGGATAAAGAAAACCCACAGCTTATGATCAAGTGTATTGTAAAATGAAAAAGAAAACAATGTATTAAATTCATAAAGAACAGAAAATTCTATTTTTATAAAATTAAAATATGGAACGCTTGACATGTTTATTTCTTATGAAAAGAATTGAATTCTGATAATCCTGAGTTGTTGCATATATGTAGTTAGTTTTAGATCATTATGAATGAAGATAATCAATATATAGATTTTGAATTACAGATAAACTCTGATGAATTAGGTGTCCAAAAGAAGTACAGTAAATTAATGTACGAGCAGGAAGCTAAATGAGAAGATTTTTTACCTTATTGAGAATGTAATACGATCGGATGATAGATAAAGGGTGGTGCGTAAATAATGCACACGACCTATATAGATAAAACGAAAATTGACAAGACTGTGAACTTTCACTATGGAAGAAAACAGAACAAGAGGTGTTTTTTTCGATGGAATGAAGCTTCCCGAAATGAAGCCGTTGAAAGAAAACGTCGAAGGCCGATTACACGCAATTAAAAACTTGGAAGGCCGTCCCCATGACGTATTAATTGCAGCTTTCCCTCGATCAGGTTAGTACATGTATAAGAACCTACACTTTAAATAAAACTTAAGATCCCGTTGCTCCAGGTTCACTTGAATGACACTATCAAGCTTGTTTCTGCTACACTGTTAAAATTTAATTTGTTTACTCCTAAATATTTCCACTTGATTTAAACAGCAATCAAAAAATGATTTTTTTTTTTTGCTTAATATTTGCATGTTCTGTTAAATATAAAACTCAAGACCCTTCGTTCAATCACTAGATATAACCAGATATGTTTGTGAAATAGAAATCACCTTCTTTGACATACATGAAAGGGTCATAAGCCTATATTGTTGGCAGTATATATACATCTGTATTATGGGCAGGATACTTGGAAATGACAAAACTGTATTATTCCAAATTACATTCAAGTATGTGCAACTTATGCGAGAAAATGCACAGAAACTCCGCGGCTAGGTTAAGGCCGCCCATAGCAAATATGCCTTAAAATATTCCGAGGAAATCAACATCATATTGATATCTTTTTTATAAGCATGAGTTTTAATTTAATGGGAATTGTACTTATGCATACATACATATATTTATGTATGAGGTCTCGACCGAGTTCGACCAAAGCGACCAGATAAGTGCTGGAAGCAACTTCCCCATTCCGGGAATTATATAAATTTAGCCGTCTTTTGATAAACTTCGCGAATTTACACTATACGCATTGAAATAATGTAAAATTACGGAAAAAACTAACAGCGCACTACTTCCTCACAGCATTTTCGAAATAGTACGGACAATAGCTACATGTGTATAAAATATCATAATTTATAATTAAGCGGATATCGTTGAACTTTTAAGATTTTCGAGGGGTTGTGCCTGTGATTGTAGTACGTTTGCATTTATGTATAAAAGACTGTGAAATATTGAGTAATGCATTCAACAAGCCAATTCAGAAAATTTCTGTCCCCTGCTTAGGGAAAAAAGAAGACCATGTGCAGTCCGGGGGGGGGGGGGGTCGGATCCCCCCTGAAATTGTAGAATTATTAAATGTATACATGTATATTGAAGAATGCCAAAATGGATATAAAGATCTGATTGTTTATTCTTTATTATGAGTATAAAGAAGATTCTTTTTATAGAGAATATTTATCACATTACTGTATTGATGATTTTATGAGTTTGTACAAGCCAGACGTCATAACATTTCACATGCTGAATGCTATCATTTAGTTAAAAAAGTATTTCGAAAAAAATAAAATGGATCCTCCAGGAATCGCACCCGGGTCCTCCTACATATTTAGCGAGAGACATACCACTACACCATGGAGCCGCTTTATAATTACACTTGAATTTGTATGCAAACATGAGGTCACATACATGTATCTGTTCACGTTCGCTATTGTCACATTTTGTCCCCCGCTTTCACTGAAAGTGGGAGATATTAATTTGGGTATGTCTATCCGTCTTTCTTTCTGTTATAACTCTTGAGGTCAAATGTCAAGGTCATAAGTTTATAAATTCTGTCTGTTACAACACTTTCGTCTGCGCGACATCTCGAGAACCCTTTGAGCTTTTGCAATATAATTTTGCAATAAACTCCCTCTGGCCTGAGGAATACCCCTATTGACTTTGAGGTGCAAAAGGTCACAGTTCAAGGTCGTAAATTTATACATTATGTCTGTGTAACACTGTCGTTTCCGGGCGATATTTAAAGGAGATTTTGAGCTTTTGCAATGTAATTTTAAACCATAACTTCCTAGGACCTCTCTCACCCTTCAAGTGTAACGCCCCGTTTGTTTTATTAGCATTGATTGTATTAAATGTCGCTATTTTTAGCACAGGGGCATGTGGAGTTATTACGTATAATTCAGGTTCTCAACACTCAAGATGATCATTATGTCATTCGTTGTATAGTGTTGTTGTAAATACATTAAATTAGTATACACAAATAATGAACATTATAATACATTCTAAATAGGACACAACCCAACTGGTGTCTATAGTTCCCTATTATAAGCATATGTGTTTATAAACAAGAGGCCCATGGGCCACATCGCTAACCTGAGCACTGTGGCTAGGAAAAGTTAGAAATTAGTTTATTATTGAAAAGTTTTAAATCCAAAAGTAGTCCCGTGACCAATCATGGCTTTGCTATTCTTGAGAAAATTATTTTTAAAGAATTTTCCTATAAACGTCTATGTAAAACTTTGATCGGCCATTGTGGGCCCCGCCCTACCCCCAGGGGTCATGATTTGAACAAACATGAATCTACACTACCTGAGGATGCTTTCATATAAATATGATCAATTATGGCTTTGCTATTCTTGAGAAGAAGATTTTTAAAGAGTTCTCCTATATATTTCTATGTAAAACTTTGGTCGGCCATTGTGGCCCCGCCCTACCCCCAGGGGTCATGATTTGAACAAACTTGAATCTACAATACCTGAGGATGCTTCCATATAAATATGATCAGTTATAGCTTTACTATTCATGAGAAGAAGATTTTAAAAGAATTTTCCTATATATTTCTATGTAAAACTTTGGTCGGCCATTGTGGCCCCGCCCTACCCCCGGGGATCATGATTTGAACAAACTTGGATCTTTACTACCTGGGTATGTTTCCCCATAAGTTTCATCTTTCCTGGCACATTTTGAAAAGATTTTTAAAACATGCCACTAAATTTTCATTAATTCCCAATTATCTCCCCTTGAATGAGGGCGTGGCCCTTCATTCGAACAAACTTGAATCCCCTTCATTCAAGGATACTTTGTGGCAAATTTGGTTAAAATTGGCCCAGCAGTTCTTGAGAAGAAGTCGAAAATGTAAAAAGTTTACAGACAGACGGACTACAGACAAAATGTGATCAGAAAAGCTCACTTGAGCCTTCGCCTCAGGTGGATGACTAGAATGCTTAATCAGTAGTATTGAGCATTTAATAAAGAAAATCACTGGGTGAAAAAAGTGGTTTCCCATCATGGGAAACTTTACGGAAACCACATGGAAACCTCAAGTTTACATCATGTTTCCCAGTGGTTTCCGTAGCGGATGCTAGGTTATTCCGCCAAGTTTCCGTGACATGGAAACCCCCTACGCTCCGATTCCATAAGGTATCCCGAACCACGGAAACCTCTGTAAACCTGAAGTTTCCCGAACATCCATGTAGTTTCCCGTAATGGGAAACCTGAAGATTCCACTGGTTTCCAGAATCAGGAAACTTGATGGAATCGGAGCATAGGGGGTTTCCGTGGAATGGAAACTTGGTGGAATCTTTAGGTTTCCTTATACGGGAAACTACATGGAAGCTCGGGAAACCTCACGATTCCTAAAGTTTCCTTGACTCAGGAAACCATATGGAATCGGAGCGTAGGGGGTTTCCGTGGAATGGAAACTTGATGGAATCTTTAGGTTTCCTTATACGGGAAACTACATAGAAGCTCGGGAAACCTCACGATTCCTAAAGTTTCCTCGACTCAGGAAACCATATGGAATATGAGCGTAGTGGTTTCCGTGGAATGGAAACTTGATGGAATCTTAAGGTTTTCTTTTATGGGAAACAACATGGAAGCTCGTGAAACCTTATGATTCCTGAAGTTTCCTTGACTCAGGAAACTATATGGAACTTGTGTAGCACTTTCTGTGTGGCGGAAACTTGGTGGAATTATCTGGAGTCCCATTCCTGGTGGAAATTACTGGGAAACTTTAAGATTCCCCAACTTTTCTAAAGAAAGCAATGTGAAATAATGCGTATTCTTTTAAAAATCTATCAAAAAAATTTATTATTTTAAATGTTTAATAATTCATTCGATGTACAAAAACTGTAACTGAATTTTTCAATGATATCAAAATATTAAATAAATTCATATATCTTATATAAACAATGGAACAGTCTTTCACATTTAAGTCCATTCATAAGGGTCATTAAGTACTTCTTTCAACATCAGTTTCCTGGTTTTCTTCACATCACCTATGATCTGCAATATTCATACAAAATTATTATATGATGTCAGAATTATAATGCGTGATAACTTAGAAATCTGAAAGATCAGTCAATGTCCTTTAATATACCAATATCAATAATTACTTTCCATGACCATGATACATATGATTTCAGCATTTAATTTATCTCTTTAATATTTAATGCTTTATGATAAATGAAAAAAAAAACATAATATAAATAATGTTTTCAGCCTTATTATGTCATTGAGAATATATTACTACATGTATCTCATACTAAGAACCCTGCTTTAAGTTTGATTAGTTTGAGAAAAACATACCCTTTATAATAACAAAAATATTAGGGAGAGATTTTTTTAAAAGTTTTGATATTCGACCTATAAATTGGTTGAAGATCATTGCAGACCCTCCACCCCATTACACAAAAGCTAGATTACACCAGGGGAGAAATATACTCTGGACTACGATTTTAAATAAAGATATACAGTACATTTTGATACTGACCTTTGACCTAGAAAATTAGTCCAAGGTCACATGGAGTGATGGGTAGACACTGTCTTAGGGCATCCACAGAACAGGACCTAAAAATAATGCAATATATATGTATTACAGTATATATACACATGTACTTGTATGTTAATGATTTATCATATGCTGCATTGGACACATATGATTTTATCATGGTTTAAGTATACATGTATCTTGTGAGTAATTTTATACCGGTATTGCATGTATGCTCAGTTTATTTAAGAAATAAATAACAAGTTTATAAACTTCAATGGGAGAGATACCACAAATGTATATATAAACAAGTAATTTAATTTTTTTTTTTTTTTTACATATATTGACCAACATTATTTACACCCATTCACCATGTTCATGAATTGGCGGATCAAAATTCAGTCAGTTTTAGATCTATATGATATACCATAATGGACTTTGAAGTTTTACATTTACAAAAGTTATTCCCCTTCGCAGGGTCGATCTGGGGTCAACCAGCTTAAGATGCTGTTTTCCCTCTTTTACCGTATCAACTTTGAGGGACAATATCTTAGAAATAAAATCTGTATGAACATATTCATTATGATTTTCATGTTGCCCCCATACTCTGGCAATACAGATCGTGATTGTCCAATATTTTTGAAGATTAAAAATATATTAACAAGTAACTTACAAAGGACAAAGTGGGAAAAATGAGCGATACGCCGACAATTGGAGAAAACTCTTAGGAATGTGAAATTCGTCTATTGGTGATGACAATTCCTGTCTTAATGTCACTGAAAAATTAAGAGACATTAAAATTTTAAGCCCTGATTGTCATACACGCATGCTGTTTTTTCATCCATATAACCTCAGAGGCGTAGTCACAAACTTAAAAAAAAGAAAAGAAAATTGAATTGAAAGTTCAACAAACTCGAAAATCCTATTTCGGGGGGAAGGGGGGGGGGTAGTGGCCAAATTTTTCAAAGGCAAGTTACTTTCTATTCCAATTTTTTCCCACAATTCTTCGATATAACTATGCTAGGGTCAACAAGTGGGGAGGGGGGGGCAACTATCCCTTCAATAAACATTTCCTATAGTATAGGAAATGTTGGGGAAAAATAGCTGTGATTTTGTTCTTCATTAAAAAGTGGGGGGCACAGACATACTCTTGCCCCCCCCCCCCCAGATCTCAAAGTGGGGGGGGGGGCTCGTGCCCCCGCTGCCTCCCTGTGACTACGCCTATGAACCTTTTAGTATCATAAAATTTAACAAAATTTAATACTTCAAATAATTTCATTGAATATCTATAAAATAAAGGAAACTCTAAAAACTTAGTGACTTGCAGAAATTATTCCTTGGAGAGAAAAAAAATCTATCATAATTCATATAAATCTATGCATGATGAGCCTTTTTTATGCATTTAGAACATATGGTATGTGCCTCATTTCCCCAAGAAATTTTCAAAGACAATGGACTATCTGTAAGCAGAAATCATTGCTGTTTACTTACAAAAAAAATTTATGAAAATAACTAATTTCCTATTTTTTTAATTTTAAATAATGCTAAAAATAATTTAATCCATCAAAAATAATCTAACTGACTGTAAAATAACATTTTTCATGATCTTAATCTAAGGGCAGATCACTCTAACTTCATAAAACTACCTGATATTAAAGTAAAACTGTTTAGTGTGCAGTTTTTAGAGCTTCCTTTAAGTAATCAAAATACTGACCAGCAAGAAATCAGTTAATAAGCATTTCCTTTTTTCCTTCATTTTTTTTTTTGAGAGATCTCAGAGTTTTTTTCTTTTCAATTCAGGTTCAAGATAACAAAGTTTTATTGAAGTGTATGTATTAGAGAACTGATTGTATGTCAATCATAGCAATACACACATAACATGGAGGGGGCAAATTGTTTCAACCCTAGCTTTTACATAAAACTTCTTGTAGCTCACAGCTGATATACCACAGTTCAGTATTTAAATAAAATTTAGAATCTTTTTTTTTTCAGGCAATTGTCATATACATACTAATCATGAATGAATTACCACTTACCAAATGACCACATCCTGAATCATCATACATTTTCTCTGATTTTATCTAACTGGTTTTCTTTTAACGTCACACAGTTTTCTTCTCTCTGAAATGATAAATTAGGTCCAGGTTCTATTGCATTCTAATTTAAACTAATTATGTGATAGCATTAGCAACAACCGGGATGGAAGAAAAATAACCAGAGGTCTCTGTCGAGACTGTAGCTCTACTGGTTTGTACTTATCAAAGACTAATGCACAGAATTATGTATAGTCTACTTGTGTGCCAAGTTATATTGAAATCAACCTAAAAATTAAAGGAGGAGTAGTGTTTGCAGACAGACGGACAGCTAGACAGACGGACGGACGCCGGACGCATTACTATTGCATTAAGCTCTTCTGGTCTCTGACCAGTAGAGCTAAAAACAAGATGCGCTTGTGAAACACAGCAACAAAGTTCAAAAATGCAATTTTTTTTTAGCATACAGGTCACAGTCAAGATCACATAATCATTGTCCTTGTTGCCATTTGAAAGCACTTCATTAGTGGAGTATGCATACTAAATATGAAGCCACTATCTCGTATAGTTCTAAAGTTATGGTGAAGGTTTAAGTTGACAACAGACACTCAGACAGACACACAGATATACAGTTATGGCAAAAGTTTGAACATTATAACTTGGTATACACACAGCCACTTCAAGGTATCAAGGGTAAAATTCATAGCACAGTGGGACTGCATTTTGACTTCGAGGGATCAAGGGTTTCGAGAGGTCAGGAGTTCGAGAAATCAAGAGCAAATCTGCTTAGTTATATAGAGGAAAAAAATCAGGACCGGAGACTCACTTCAAGCGATCAAGAACTTCCGAGAAATTGAAGTTCAAGCCATCAAGAGTTACTTGTATATACAGATATAAGAAGTATGTTATTATTTGCAATTTTGACCTAATGACAGCTAAATCTGTTCAGTAAGACAATACCGTGTACATGTATGTACATAGTTTTATTGTGCATTATTTGCTATATACATTGACCTACTCAGGTCAATAATTGTGAAAAAACATTAACTGATAATTCAAGCTGATGATTCATTTGCATTTCTTGACATACTATCAATATTAATTCACTATAATTAGGCTTTTCTTTTTTTACATCTTCATCTCAACAGGTTAGACATTACAAAAATAAAAATCTTTTGAGCAGTAATCCATATCAATAAACAATAAAACAAACCTAATCTCTTCAGAAAAGTGGACAGGCTTTCACCTACATTCACTTTTTTATGTATATTTTTCCTCCATATCATTAGTCTCGTTCAACAAGACCCTCGGCATATGATTAAGGGTTATGCTATTTGCTACAATCTATGCCTACTGTTCTGATGAGGATATCCTTCATGAATAATCAGATAAGCTGAGATTGAAGACACTTTTTGTAAAAATATCGATGCTTTTATCAAAGTTTTGAACCAAAAATATTTAATTTATACCTTGACATAAGTCGTAAGTTCCAAAAAACAAGAGTTGGCTGTCCGAAAAGTCAGAAAACACATGTATTCAAACCGGATGTTCTACAGTCTGAATTTAACTACGAAACCATGCTCGGTGTAACTATTATCATCCGGATAATTTGAGCGGGGTTAAAAATATTTTTTTTAATTCCGAAAAGTATTCATTTATATATAGAGAGAGAACATACATATGGAGCATACATTTTAATAAACATGATAAAAAGCGAAACGTTGCCATTTTACAACATACAGCATGCACATGCACGGTGCCTTTGGGGCCTCCATAATCAAAGTTATGCTATATATCACTGTCTCAATTTTTTTCTCTCTCTCTCTTTCTCTCTGCAATATATACACTTAACAATTTAAAACTTAGGTATCCAACTTTTCAAAATGGCGTCAGAACAAAAGTTGCCTCCGATAGTGAAGATTTGTTGTTGCCAAATATTACAACTATTTACCGTAAAAAGTTAACAAATGTATACGTACACTAATCCTTCATCGTTGGCCATTGCATTTATCACAGTCTTAAAGACACTGGGTGGTGAAACCATCTTAACTTTTCACATTTACCAGAGCTGCTTACACCTTCTTCTTCGTCCTTCTCGATCCTCCAAAAATGGCGCCTCGGGAAATTGACCAATGAAATAAAGCGCCCAGAGAGCGATGCAGGATGGGAAATATAAACTGTTTTCATTCACTATGATTAAGTGTGATTTTGAGATCTTATATTAGAATTTAATTAAGTTTTCCGCTTTTCATGGAATAAAAGGAGGGGCTCCTAAATATTTTTGCCGATATGATGTGTAGGCCTAGTACTGTATATTTAGAAAAAAGCGGTTAAATACATGATGCAAGAGCAGAAAAAAATTGTTTCTTGCTTGACACCTCAACTTATTTGCTTTCGGGATATAGGTTTCCGGGCTTGGTTGTTGGTAGTGGCCGTCCTTGCTGAAAGTAATCCCCCCCCCCCCCTCTCCCCGCTTCTTTTAACTGTTACATGTATGATTATGAATTTATAATGTCACACCAAAAGCTGTTAGATTTTTAAAAGCACATTTTTTTTATTGTGAACTTTCCACAGGAATCCTAAAAGGCATGAAAATTAGCTACAATTATAATATGATTATCAAGAACAGTTTTTTTATTTCAATAGTGATGATTGAAAAGTTCGGTGATTAATAATTCATTGCTAATAAATTGTGTTTTTTTTTTGGGGGGGGGGGGGTTAAATTACTAATTGAACTCCCTCCTTTTTGGGGTTTAATTATAGATTTTGCGCCTGCTATCAATATTACTGGTGGACCTGCTAGACTTTTCTCTAATTGTTACATGTACATTGTACTTTAAACTCCTTGGCCTTTAGCTAAATAATTTCCCACATCATTTTAACACGGAAAAAAAGCTAAAAAAAAAATTCCCACATCATTTTAACACGTAAAATTGTTAAATGAATCAGAATGTTGAAAACCTTTTTCTTAGGAGAGTTATATCTCTAGGCGGAACAAAATTAACATCTTATCAAAGGCAGGAAAATATAATAGTATTTTAATTCAGTATTTTAGTCGTGATTGGTATAAGTGAAGTCATGGGAAAGATTATGTCGAAAGTCATCTATACTCGTTGATGTGCAGGACTGTACTTATGCATACAGCTTTAGCTGGTCCCGCCCTGTATTTCTTTAATGTTTTTTTTCGTTAAGAAATCTGGTAAGGTATGTTAGTAAAAATAAAATCCCGGTTAGTTTATTACTCTAACGGAAATTACTTTCCTACAGGCCTGAAGATCGAGTCTATTAGTCACCCAAGTTTTTTTTTAAAAAGAGTAGCATGTCGGCGAATAAAAATAAAATAGTGCACAACATAGATAAAGAAATGTTTGTTGAAGTATTGACAAACTTCATACCTTTATAGAATGAAATCAACAAAAACTGAACAAAAATACAATTGTGACAATTATACAATGAATTAATTATACAATTAATTCTTTTAATAGATTACCTTAGCATGTACTTCTTTAAAAGCCATTGTTCTTAAGGAAAACAAAATCATGCAAAATATTATAGACTTTTCTTTATCTAAAGCAAAGGCCTTTGGAGAAAAAAAAATGGCTGAAAATTTTAAAGTTTGTTAAACATAATGTATGTGCATTTAGGACCCTACATTGTAATTTCATGCGAAAAGTGCAGGCGTTTACTACACGGGGATCTGCGTACATATTTTAACAAAAAAAAAAAAAGGAAAGAAAAAAAAGTTTTATGTGATGAATTATATTATAAACATTTATCTAATAAATGTCTTTGTGCTACGTTAGATTACAAATTTCACACAAAAACCCATCAACAATTATATTAAATACAGTTTTGATTTCAAGTTGATCTATTAACGTCATTCTGATTTAATATAAATATACATGACGAGAATTAAGATCTATTCAATACCTATAGAAAATTATTTAATTTCTAAAGAGGATAGTTTTATTTTAAATCAGTAATGAAATTGAAATAAAAATTCTAAATAGTTTGTTCTTTCATTGAACTTCTTAAATGAAGGTTATTTTATAAATATGTTCTCTTGTATAACTTTATTTATGGAATATACAATTTTTTAAATGATAAAAGAAACACGAATCATCATCTTAATTCAAAGGGATTTTCGGTCGGAGACAGTGTGTGTACATGCTCGACAACAGCCTATTGTTTCCTTTAGGTACAAAACCGTCTCAATTCACATAGAATATACAAAAAATACACAGTGACAGGTGTCTTCGCGGCACGTGTCTCCACCTGAAATGGCACGTGAGGACAGGTGTCCCTAATTACACAGGCCGACCATAGTGACTTTTTCAAAAGCGTTTTGTGTGTGTGTGGGGAGGGGGGGGGGGCTTCTGAAGGAAAAAATGAAAAGCAACCCACCCACCCCCAATAATAAAAATAATAATTTAATAAATAAAAAAAAAACAATATTCACTATTAATAGTAAAGTATTAGTATGATAATATTCAACCCCCAGCCAGTTCGATGAATGATTCTAATCTGACCAGTTTATATTAATATATTAATTCATATTAAAACAAAATCTTTATCACTTTCTAAACTTAACTTGAAACACTAAAAATGTAATTTTGACAAACCAAATGAAGTATTTTTTTCCTGACGGATTACCCCGGTATATAAGAAATGCCAACCTCTGGTATCTAACACAAATGCCTGGTAAGGTACCTTGATGTCTTGTGAAAACATGTAATTATGTAAAAATAATTCTTCAATGTCAATTGCAAAATATTGGGGAAAAAAATTAATTAATTTATTGAGTAACGTTTCACCTGTCCTTAATCAGAAATCGTAACTTGACATATTTCTTTATTTACTTTTTAATCAATCTTTTTAGTAAAACTTTTCTGTAAATAATTTCATTAAATGTACCCTTCCTTAGCTCTTCCATTTTTTCAAAGGAACATTCATCATAGACAGCTTCTAGAAAGTGGGATCGGAAATGATTGATTTCTACATAACTGTATGCACTTACTTTTTTCTATTCCACTTCACGCATTCTATACGAGTTTACCAAAACTTATGTGATAAATCAAATTCAAAATTAAATTAAAATAAATATAATTCAGTTCAATAAAATTAAATTAAAATTGAATTGCTGAAATATTAAATTAATCACACAGAAATACACATCTAGTTATTTTAACTGTTTGAAGTTAATTATTTTGAAACAGCATGTAAACACTTTTGAAATATTTCTATAATTGGTAAAAATATGTTAACATAATTAAATATTTAACTTTTTGTAAAATAAAAGGTAGGTGGTTAGCATTGAGATATACTTTCAAAGTTTCCCTGCCTGGGAAACATGGGGAAAACTACACATTGGTGGCTTCCATGTCGGGAATCTGTATGGAAACCACTGAGGCATGTTTTCATGGTTTCCTATCTTGGGAAACTTACAGGAAACCACAGGTTGGTTGTTTCCATATCGGGAATCTACATGGAAACCACCGGGGCATGTTTCCATGGTTTCCTATCTTGGGAAACTTACGGGAAACCACAGGTTGATTGATTCCATGTCGGGAATCTATGTGGAAACCACCGGGGTATGTTTCCATGGTTTCCTATCTTGGGAAACTTACGGGAAACCACAGGTTGATTGTTTCCATGTCGGGAATCTATGTGGAAACCACTATGTGGTTTCCATAAAATGGAAACTATATGGAAACTACTGATGTCACGATTCCCATATGTTTCCATCGGGTTTCCAAATTTGGGAAACCTGGCTTTTCATCCTGTGAATATTACCATCTTGTCAAATATCAAGCAAGAAATCATTATCAACTACGGATTTCGCCTTTAATCTCAAAAATCGGCATGTAAACAATGATAACAGGAAACACTATTTGCTACATAATTACAGAACCTAAACAGAGACTGTAGTATGAACGGAAACGCAGTTTCGGGAATACCTAACCACGTTTATGACAGACAGGATAAATTCAATAATGCGAATAAACAAGAGTCCCATGGGCCACATCGCTCACCTGAGAAGCTTTGGCCATTTTTGATCTTTACCAGATTTCCCCCTTGTAATACATATTGTGACCCCAGTGCCCACCCTACCCAACTGATCATAATTTAGACAATTTGAAATCTACACTACCATAGGATGCTTTGATTCCCCATTGTAAAACTTTGATTCCCCATTGTGGCCCCGCCCTACCCCATGGGGTCATGATTAGAACAATTTAGAATCTACACTACACCAGGATGCGTCCACATAAGTTTCAGCTTTTCTGGTCCAGTGGTTCTTGAGTAAAAGATTTTCAAAGATTTTTCCTATATATTTCTATGTAAAACTTTGATTCCCCATTGTGGCCCCGCCCAACCCCCGGGGGTCATGATTTGAACAATTTAGAATCCACACTACCCCGGGATGCTTCCACATAAGTTTCAGCTTTTCTGGTCGAGTGGTTCTTGAGTAGTAGATTTTCAAAGATTTGTTCTATATATTTCTATGTTAAACATTGATTCCCCTTTGTGGCCCTGTCCTACCCTCGGGGGTCATGATTTTAACAATTTAGAATCTACACTACACCAGGATGCTTCCACACAAGTTTCAGCTTTTCTGAGCCAGTGGTTCTTTGGTAGAAGATTTTTCCCATATATTTCTATATAAAACTTTGATTCCCCATTGTGGCCCCGCCCAACCCCTGGGGGTCATGATTTTAACAATTTAGAATCTACACTACACATGGATGCTTCCACATAAGTTTCAGTTTTTCTGGCCCAGTGGTTTTTGAGAAGATTTTTAAAGATTTTCCTATATATTTCTATGTAAAACTTTGATTCCCCATTGTGGCCCCGCCCTATCCCAGGGGGTCATGATTTTCACAATTTAAAATCTACTCTACCTCAGGATGCTTCCACATAAGTTTAAGCTTTTCTGGCCCAGTGGTTCTTGAGAAGAAGATTTTTTAATGACCCCACCCTATTTTTGTCTTTTCTTGATTATCTCCCCTTGTGAGAAGACTTGGCCCTTCATTTTAACAATTTAAATTTCCCTTTACCCAAGGATGCTTTGTACCAAGTTTGGTCAAAATTGGGCCATTGGTTCTTGAGAAGAAGTTGAAAATGTGAAAAGTTTACAGACAGACGGACAGACAGACAGACGGAGAAAATGAGATCAATAAGGTCATTTGAGCCTTCGGCTCAGGTGAGCTAAAAACTCATTTCACAGTATTATATAATCAATAAAACAACTCAAAATGTGATCAGAAAAGCTCACTTGAGCCTTCGGCTCAGGTGAGCTAAAAACTCATTTCACAATATTATATAATCAATAAAACAACTCAATAATTGCCTCAGTACTACTTAATAAAAGTATTTCTACAGATATTAAACATTAAACGACTGAACTGAAGCTACTGAAATGGCAGGAATAAACAATTGTGATCAGTGCATACTTTACATCATTCAAGAGAATTACGGATACTTTAACGATTACTCTTAGATAAAATGATATTAAAATATACACATTTAAATATAAGTACACACCTGCGGAATCGCCCAAGTGGCTCAAAGTAGCTTACAGAATTCCAAAGGGAAAGCACATGGCACAAATCGATTACAGTACTTGTTCAGTGTTTACGTCATCAAGTTCAATGATAAAACAATGAAAGGTCATGGTAGAGACACAAAAATCCTTTTTAAGGGGAATTCTTTTTCCTTTAAAAAGGGAAAATGAGATAATTATGGAAAATTTTCTCTTAAAGAAAATACCAATATCTACTACTGGTTTCTTGTAATAAATTTACAGCCGTTTGTAGTAAGTCTTCCTGCTTTTGATGTTTGAATTTTGAGAGTCCGACATGATGCTATCATCCGAGGTTTGCCAAAAGGATAACAGATTGACAATTTCGCGGGATTTACGTTCCTACGAAAGAAAACATAATGATAGAAATACTTGCGCGCCATCTAGCGTTAATTCAAGTAATGTCTGTTTTTTGCACGTCATCTAGCGTCAATTCAGTGAATGGCTGTTTTGCATCGGTGATCCTTGGTTTTGCATCGGGGTCTGTTAATTTTGCAAACGAGTCTGTTGATTTTGTTTTAAGGTGGTCTGTTTTGTATTTCAGTATGTTTTAAGAATTAGTTGTTGGTTTTGCATTAACGTCTTATGGCACAAAACAAGTAATTATTAGTCTATTAAATATACATTTGAATATCTTCTTCAAAATTCAACATTGAGCCGGGAATTTTTTTTCGTATTATTATCACGAAAACTTACGAAATTGCCGGTATAGAATTCGAAAACCTGTGGTCAGTATTAACAGTATGCAAGTAACAATTGTGATTTACGACAATTTTTGTTTATCTTTCTCTTTCATCAGATATTTTAACTATTATAGGTACACATTGGGTGTGGGAAATTACAGTTATGCTTTTGAAACAGCAAGATGAATACACAGAAAAGACGAAAGAAACAGCATTTCTCGAATTCGTAGACAATTTAATCGAGGTTGAAAAGATGCCATCACCGCGCATTCTTAACACACACTTGCCGTTTAGATGGCTTCCAAGTTCCCACATAGAAAGCAAGAGGAAAATGATACATGTAATAAGAAATCCAAAGGACATGTTCGTGTCCTTTTTTCACTTTCAAAAGAACTTTGGAGTAGAACATGACTGGAATACGTTTTTTAACAATTCGGTTATTGGACAAGGTGAGTCAAATATATAGTTTTGTTTACCTTAAAGAACCAAAGCCAAAACAACCTAATTTGGTCCTGTCACTTAAATAGATCAAACTTTCTAAACAATACTCTTATGTTTGTAGATTACAAAACATTTTATTTTTTACATACCTTTTACAGTCGTTTAAATTCAGTATTTTAAGTGTTTTTCAAACATCTCCTGCATACAGCTTCAAGAACTTTTTAAGCTCATGCATTGGCTTTTCGCACAAATTAAGGTCACATTCTTCTTGTAATAAAACTGAACAATATCGAACTTCAGTATGAGATATAACCCTAATTTGTATTAAATATCTCATGTCCAAGGTGCATATTTTTTTGAAATCATTATCTCGATGTTTTAAAAAATGGAATTTTATTTATAAATGGTATGACGTTTCTTCTCTATGGTTCTAGCATAGGTATTTACAAAAAAATTAATCTAAGTAAACTTTCTTTGATACTATTTTGTTGAAATTTTTAAATTGACCTCTTAAATATAAGTTTTTTTTCTACATACTTTGCACATTTTCGGTATTGTCTTGGTTTTGTCGAAATGTAACGTCGAAAAATGACAATGCTGCATAAAGGAACTAGATGCTGTCATTAGACAGTAATACCCGCACTAAGGTGTTTGCCTCTAAATACACAATCCTACGGGCGGCTTACCAAGGAAAAAGTCAAAATAATTCTATATAATTCAGGCACGTAGCATCGTTTTTGAAAGTGGGGGGGGGGCCAACCTGAGAAATTTTTTTTTACTTACCTAAAAAAATTAACAAGGAAAAAAAATGAAATGGGGGGGGGGGGGGGGGGGGTAGTGGCCACCTTTTTTTCAAGGCAAAATTACTTTCACTTCCAATTTTTTCCCCATATTTCCTTGCTATGTATATACTGTGGTAAAAAGTGGGGGGGGGGGGGCAACCATCTTTTCAATGGACATTTTCTTATAGTACAGGTAATGTTGGGGAAAAAAGGGGGGGCAGCCCCCCCCCCCAGTTGCTACATGCCTGTAATTACATGTATTCATCAAATTGAGTATGAAATTATCCCTGTGACCTATAACTCAGAACCTCTTATATTTATTTTACATGCTTAATTCATTATATACCAGTTTGAATTCTATTAATGATGTGAATTAGATTTTGAAAAATGTTTTTTTTTTTGGGGGGGGGGGGGGGGTAGTGGCCAACTTTTTTTCAAAGGCAAGTTACTTTCAATTCCAATTTTTCTACACAATTTTACTAAACAACTATATATTGATATTATTTCATAATAGCTGTTATTTTGTTCTTCATTAAAAAGTGGGGGGGGGGGCACAGACATACTCTTGCCCCCCCAGATCTGATAGGGGGGGCTAGTGCCCCCGCTGCCCCCCCCCCCCCTCCCCCTGTGACTACGCCTATGTGCTCATACTAGGACCTTTTTAAATTTACTAATCCCCCCCCCTCGACACCACAATCACACAGTACATACTTTTAGGAATAGGCTAGATGGAACAGTTTTGCTAAAACATTGTTTCTTATGAATTAATTAAAAATTTGTTCTAGACATGTAAATTCTACATCACATCACGTTGCGTCACTCATTATCATATTTTTAGATTAAACTCCGTTCGGTACACCTCGGCCGATTCCCACTTCATCTGATAAGGTGACGGAATCGACGGCACGAAGGTTTTCCGAATGGAATAGCATTATAACATGCTGCAGAATGGTGTGCATTGGATTAATTCATTTTGTGTTATAATTGGATTTATATTTCATGAAGTTTACAAGACCTATGGAGGTCGGGAAGTACAAGTTTAAGTATGGTGGGGGGTAAAATAAAACCAAAACGATTAGGTTAAAGTTCAAAAAGGGTCAAAGATCATCGCATGCCACACTAGACGAATTTCATATTGTGAAGTTATTTCCCCTTGTCGATGTGACATTCAGTTACTGCCAATACTGGTGCGGATCCAGAATTTTTTTTCGGGAGTAAGGGGAGGGGTTCACATCTCAGTCAAAAAATTCATGCCTAGAATTTCCTGACAAGCAGGAGATTGATTGATTGATTGTATACTGTTTAACGTCCCTCTCCAGAATATTTCACTGATATGGAGACGTCACCATTGCCGGTGAAGGGCTGCAAATTTAGGCCTATGCTCGGCACTCAGGGCCTTTGAGCAGGGAGGGATCTTTATCGTGCCACACCTGCTGTGACACGGGGCCTCGGTTTATACAAGCAGGAGAAAAAAAACTCATAAACTGAAAACAAATAAACAAAATAAAAACAATGATAGTGGGGTCAATGTTTTCTAAGTTAGGGGGAGGATGTCCAAAGTCATTTTTTATTTGCTTCAGTATATAGTCTTGTTTAAATAACAAAGGAAATTCCGGGGGGGGGGGTCCAATCTCCCTACCCAATCCCTGAAATATTTTTTTCCATTTGACTAATTATGTACATACAGTATAATTTGTCCAAACCGGCTATCGCTGGTTCCATAAAATTTGGCCGGTTTAGACAGAATCCGGAGTGCAGGAAAAATGCAGGAAACTATTAATTTTTGAAAATTTCGTTGTTTATTTACAAGACATCATATACATAATATAAAATATAATTGAATGATGAAATCAATCAATATTTTGGAGTCTAGAAATTATAAAATAGTCTCGCACGTAACTGTATTTTCTTGTTTATTCACGAAGTTTGAAAGTCGGGTGAAATGTTACCTAAAACAAAATCTACAGGCACGCATAATATAGGCTTACTATATATCAAGCGGACCGGGTTTCGCTTGTCAAAGAGCTCATTCAATGTATAGACACTAATGCACAATTATTTACGACGTGCTAATTATTGGATTGAACTTTTAATTTTTATGTAAAAAATTACGATTTCCCCCACAGTGTTATGGCGCCATTTTGAAATGCGTTCGATTTTCGATCCCGATTTATATTTTGATTTTTTAATCGCGTACACATAATTTTTGTGTTTATGTTATAATGTGGTAAAAGGAGTTAAAACAAAGTTAATGTTTTTTTAAATTGTAATTTAATCATATAATAGTTTTCAAGTGGGGTGTGTCACCGCCGTATTTCATCACATCTCATGGCACTAATCATGCTAATGCAAACACGGATTATCACATCCACCACGAAAGGTGTTAATTGCTTTGAAGTAACTCAGGTGTGGCCGGATTAGAGGAAATAATTACCGTTAATTATGAGCAGTTGGGACCAGTATGGCCGTTCGGAATACAGAATAGACAGTATCCGGACTACACAGAATTTTTTCTAATGAATTTGTTAAAGAAGTGCATGGGACTAAAATTTAGAGACGGAATGGACAAAAATCCGGAGTACTCAGAGTCCGGATTAGACAAATTTTACTGTATTTTGTTTCTTGTGTTTATATTATGTCGATCTGTCTATTTGTCTGCAGAAATTATAACCTTGCCCATAAGTTTTAAGTGGGATGGGCTATACAAATGGCTTCCACATTTTATAGGTTTATTTCTTGTGACAATTAAGACCTTTTATTTGGGTACCATTAATTTTTACCTCTGATCACTTGACCTAGAATACACATTTTTACAAGAAAAATACCCAACTTTAAACTTGGCCTAAATTTTGATCAGTAGGTGCTAGGGCTTTCATGCTTAACATGTGTATTCATTGTGAAATGTCAACAGGTATAAATATGTTTGACCTTGACCGTAGAGTTTGAACCACTTAAAAAATTAACCTTGGCAATTAACTTTTGAACAGGAAGTACTAGGGATTACTTATTTCACATGTGCATTCCTTGTGACAAGACTTTGACCTTGACCTTTGAGTTTGACATATATTTGAGAAACTTCAACCTTCGCCATAGGCTTCCATACAGGGACATCTGATCAGTGTTTCACAAACACATCTTGTCTTCATTATTATTTGGTGGTGTCTCCATATGAGGGAAAAATTCCCGAGAGAGATGTATTCACAGCAAACAAGCAAATTACTAAAGAAAATATAAAACATGAATATGTTGGTCATGCATATCTCTGCATGAAAAAAACAGCTTTTCAAATACTGCAACCATATTGTAACCCTTTCAAAACACTCATTTGAGCTTTTCTGGTTTCCTTATCATTATAACGTCTGTCGTGACATGTCGTCCATCTGTTTGTCTGAAAACTTTTTACATTTTTAACTTCTCTAGAACCACTGGTCCAATTTTACCCATGCAATTCATATAGAAATATGTACATTTGTATGTCAGACTGTCCTTCTGTCTGAATAAAATTAACCTTGGTCATCACGGTCATATCTACTGAATGAGAAGAGACAAGGCATTCATATTAAACTTATGTACTAGTATTTACCTGTGAGAATGGCATGGGTTTTTTTTTTACATATGACCTAGAAGTTTGACCTACTTGCAAAAAAATTAAATTGTTATAAATTCATCATTTTGAAAGAGAAAAGTTAGGGCATTCATATTATAATGCATGTATATTATTACCTGTGATAAGATCTTTCCAAATGAATCATGACTTTTACTCTGTGACCTTGACCTTGAAGCCTAACTTACTTTTCAAAAATGTTGCATTTGTTTATAACTTTTGATTGAGATGAGATATGACTCTCACATTTGACATGTACATTAATTACTCATAAAAATTCAAGGTGTTTCCCAGTATGCGATGCTTTTTTACCCTTTAACGTTGATGTTTTACATAATTTTCAAAATATTTAACTCTCCTAAAAGATGATTAGGCTTCTGAGTAACATTAAGGAGGACTTCAGGAAAGACAGGACTTTTTGCACAAAAAACGTCATTTTTCCACCCCCATTTGACCCCCCGGGGAAAAAATCAAAATTACGAAAACTTACTGCACATCTACATGACACCACCAACCATCTCCCAAAAGATGATTAGGCTACTGTGTAAAATGTAGGAGAATTTCAGGGAAGACGGGGCTTTTTGCATAAAAACGTCATTTTTTGACCCCTATTTGACCCCCT